GATTTACAAGTCCAAATGGAGACTTCCAATATATGATTTTGAATGGAAAAACAATTCTAAGAACAATGGTTCACCCACTTTTTTGAGTTTAGAAGGAAAAAATGAAGTTATCCATGGTTGCTTATCATTTAAGAAACATAATCAAAAATGAGCCAAAGTTTGAAAACAAGGGAATGTGCAAGATGTATCTAGAATGTTCATTTGGGGTCTATATATTCATGAAAGGAGAATTTGGCAAGGGTTGGCTTCATTTGCACCAAGAATTCCACATAATTTCTCACACTTTTTCATTGGAGTTTCATTGTAATTCTCTCAAAATCTTCACAAAATCATCATCCATATTGATTCAATTGTGCTCCATGATCATCATAGATCAGAATTGAAGCAAGGATCAAGTGATTATCATCCATTTTCGAGTGCTTCTTGCAAGGATATCAAAGTTGCCAAGTCAAGTGGATAGCATAATTCTGGCCAAATCTCATTCAAAGCTTGCATACAGAATCAAGTTCATCAAGGATTGATCAAGATCCAAGTCTCAAAAGCCTCAAATCATCAATATCCATAGCTGTTTGCAAGATTTTACACAAGGTAAGTTTTCATTCAAACTGCTTGATCCAGTTAGTTAGGCATGATTTTGTTAGTGTAGAATTGATCTAGGTGGTTAGGAGATTAAGCTAGATGATTTTGGAACGATTTGGTGATGGTTAGTGACAGGTGCCATAAACTGTTTGTGTTCGAATCTCTTGGATGAATGTGTTATAATTGCAACTTGATAGCATATGTTAATCTCCATTAGGTGTAGTTTAATTTAGGCTAGGTTTGAGGAAGATTGGTGATGGTCCATACCAGTGCATTTCAATGGAGGCCGAGTGTGGATCCAATCGAATTTGTTGATGTGGTGAATTTCAAAGTGAATTGATGCCCTAAACTTGTAGAGGGAGAGATTTGGAACAGATTTCATGTTCATGGCATGTGGATTAGTGGCGTGTAGGATGAGAACAGAGAGGAAGAAAGTTGCTCGTGCATGGGAGCTTTCATGGCATCCAAACCCTAGCTTGCAGAACCAAGGAGGAAGACGAAATCTGAGCCCTTCGTTTGGAGTTAGACCCTTGACTGTGGGAGCGATCCAAAGGCTGAGATTTAAGCTGAGTCTTGGAGGGAAGTAAGAAGCTGGCCAAAACGCACCGTTTCATTAATTGAAACGGGCGGGCCTGAGTTGGTTGTTGCTATCCCCACCCCCAATGTGTTAGGCCCAAACCATTTTTAACGTGTTTTGGATGCTATTTTCACCCCCTGCTGGTTTTTCTTTTATTTCAATAATTCTGATTGATGCTGGGCCTTATCCATTTTGCTAACAGCACCCTACCCTGTCTGGCCCATACAATAATGAACTGAGCGCGCCTACTGAATGCACCCCTCTCCCTCATTTAATTCATTTTATTTTTTCTTATTTCATTTTATTTTTTACTAATCTTTGAAAATTCATGAATAATTCATAAAAAATGCTTTTTAATTCATTCTTTTTACCATGTTTTCATTAAAATGTCTAGAATATTATAGGAAAATAAAATTTCATTTTTAGTTTTATTTCATATTTTTTTCATATTTTCTAAATAAATAGCATATTAAATAGATTCATTTCATGCATTATTTTTGTGATTTTTGTTCTCTCACATGCTTTAATATTTTTTGATCATTGTTTTCATATTGTTTAGATGAGATATTAGGCTTATAGAAATATTTTTGTTCCCATTTTTAGAGGTTAATTTTAGGTGATTAATAAGTGCTTGAATATCATGAACAAAACTAGGGTTTTTAGGTGACAACTTAGGAGTTTGATTTCATTTCCCTTAGGACTTAGGGTTTGAATAGATTAGTTATGGGACTATAGGGGCTATGGGTAGTTATTAGATCCCTTAGAGAACAGTTAGGATTCCCCTACTGCTATTATTACTGTCTGTATATCTGTTGTCTGGTGTGGTGTGCCCTCTGGGGATTGTTGCTTGTTTGATTGGGTATTGGGATTGCCTGGGGCCCTGGGGAAGCTGAAGATTTGTGAAGATGAAGCTATTGGAGATTCAAAGATTGAAGATCAACTGTCAGAGTTGAGGAGGAGTTTCTTGCTGGCAGATGCTGAGGAGATTAGGGTTTAGGAGCTAGGCAGAGCTCTAGATTAGAAATATTGTTTCTCAAACATGGATTGCCTTGTCTGCATCCATTCTTCTCTGTGATTCAGAGTCTCTCTAAGATACTCACCCCCTTCCTTTGGAAGGCTTGGTGATGGTGTCTATGAGATAGAACTCTTGAGAGAAAATGTCTCCTGTGTTAGAAGCAGTCTGTTCACCACCTTTGGTAGTCAGCTGATTGCTTAACACCCAATTCACTCTTGTGACTAATCCCTCATCCTGGAGGTTTGAGCTTGAAGAAAAGCCATTGCAGATGGAAGACTGATGATCAAAGCCCTTGCCTGAAGGCCATGAAGATGGAGATTGATGCTTGTTGAAGTTTGTGAATGATTGGAGATTGCTTGAAGCTAGTTGTTGATTCAGAGCTGCTGATGCTGTTGCTTCTGCTGTATTTCATTTGTTGGTGTATTGATTGGTTTTCTGAACTGTATTGTTTGCTGTCTACCCTGCTGGGTTGAGAGTGAAGTCTGTTCACTTTCGCCTATTGTTTTCTAGGTTCGAGGATGAGTGGGACTCCCTTGCCTCGCTTGTACTGTTGCATCCATGCATTTTACTGTTTTACTGTATATATCTGATATTGTTTCTGTTTCTGCCTATCCCGTAGGACCTCTGTTTCTCTCTGTGCAAGAGAGGAGCATGATAGACACTAGGTCTCAACCCATGCATGATAACATTAGGATAGCTTGTTTCCCTTCGCAACCGTAGTTTAGAGTTCTGTCTCTTTCTTTCTCAAAACAAACAGAAAAAACACATAAAGATTTCAAACACAATAAAAGACACTTCTTCCGTAAAAGAATGTGAACTCATCAAAACGTCATTTTTGTCCGCTGGGACTGTTAATCAGAAAAACCTTTTCAGAAGGAATAAAATCAACCAAGACAAGCCTGTGTCGTACGTGGCCCGAACTACGTTTGCTCTGATCTTTCATGCTGTATGAAAGTACGTAGGCATAGGATGCGATATCCTAGCGAGCAACCTTCCCCTCCTTTCCCGTAGGTAGGCGAACTACGTTGACTCTGATTTCTCGTTCCAGACGGGAATACGTAGGCATAAAGTGCGATACTTTGCCGAGTCATTTTTATTTTCGTTTTATTTTCTTTTTCACCCTTGACCTTTAGCGTAGATAGAATAACAATCCATACCCGAAAACAAGCGTGGATCCCGTCGAGTACGACGGACGTGAGGGGTGCTAATACCTTCCCCTTGCGTAACCGACTCCCGAATCCAGGTTTTGGTTGCGATGACCATACCTTTCCCGTGTTGTGCGAGGTTTACTCTGAGCGTTTCCTTTCCCTCCCGTGGGATAAATAACGCACGGTGGCGACTCTTCTGTTCAGCCGGCGCCGATTTTCGCAGTAGCGACAGTAACATGAGCATGCAATGATTGACTATTTTCCCTCCGAACTGATGCATGTTGTGCAATCATGTCGTGCCTCAATCAGTATTACATATCAGCCATAATGTCTGTAAGTAAACCACACAAGTGTTACACAATGAGTATAAGCAAGAATTGCTAAAAAATGCACTGAAAAACTCTAGAGATGCATCTCCGTTTTTTGGGATTTTCTACGACTCTCATCAACGTCAATGGCAGAAATGCAGTCCTCCAAAACAACAAAAATAGTGCATTGATCAATAAAACTACCTATCAAACTCATTTCTCATTATTTCTCATTATGTCTATTTCATAACATAATCATCAATTTCTACAAATTTATACAAAAACTCAAAAGTTAGAATTTTTTTTACAAACTGTGAATTTACTTCAGTGTTGAATGAAGTCTTTGATGGACTTGATGTTGATGGAAGAAATTTTGAAGTTGGTTGAATGATTTTGAGAGAATGTGAGTTGAGAGAGTTTAAAAAACTTGAGTTTATAGTTGTTTTTTTAGAAATGAGTAAGGAGATATGATTTTGACATGATTTTGAACAAACGGCACCCGAAGATACATCTTTGTGATGTACACGACGATGCATTTTCGTAATTTTTTTCATTGACTTAGCATCTGATTAAAAAATATGTTGAGTTGAGGTGCGTCTGAAGATACATCTACAAAATCTAAAAATATTATTATATTTTCACGAGATATATTAATAATCCATAGAACCCCTTAAGAAATTCTCTCATTTATTACCTTTTAAGGACTTATTCTTTTTTTTCTTTTCATGTAACCAAACAAGAAAAGCAGTCCTCAAAATAATTGCTCATACACACCCATCCGCAGTTAAAGAAATGGACCAGCAAAAGAAAATGGGCAGAAAAAAAAAGGCTAACCTAATAATTCCAACCCAAGATCAGTTAGGCTTGAGATCAAACGGTCAATATGCGTAACCTGATTGTAAATATCGTGAGAATCAACGCGTTGCGACCCACCCTATACCCCCAAAATTAACGTTTCGATAACTACGTGCACTCACGACTGGCCCCAACCAAGCATATCCAATCACATAACTCTCGCCAATCTAACGGCCATAAACAGTCCCTATTAAGTTACACGCATACTCTATCGTGCATCTGAATGCAACTTAATAATAAGCGAAAAGAAAAACACAAACGCGCATTGTTTACTATCATACACCACAAGGTTACGAAGCAAAAGAAGAAAAAAGGCGCAAGGCATTATCGTGCGCCGTATTGTCCAAACCTGCGTGTTTGTGTGTATTGTGTGTGTGCCTCCTTCGTTTTTCTCTGTATTTTTCTCTTCTCTTCTTCACAACGTTTCAATCAAAATCAATAACTAAAACGAACACGAAAAAAGAAAAAAGAGGAAGAAGAAGAAAAATTAACACAAATAAACAAATACTCGTTAAACAATGAAACACACTTCATCCGAAGCAGTTCCGTCTCTATCAACCGTGCCTTCGTTCACAGACCAATCACAGCCTGCCACGTCATCTTCTTCTTCCTCATCTTCCGCTGCGGCGGCGGAGGACCTCGCAATAGGCTCTCGCGACGGAGGAAGCGCTCAGGAGACGGTAGTTGTGGATCGGAAAAACGACTACTCCGCTGTATGTAGATGGACGGTGAACAATTTTCCCAAAGTAAAAGCTAGGGCACTGTGGAGCAAGTACTTTGAGGTAGGTGGTTACGATTGTCGTCTATTGATATACCCTAAGGGTGATTCGCAGGCTTTACCTGGTTACATCTCCGTTTATCTTCAAATCATGGACCCTCGCGGAACTTCTTCTTCGAAATGGGACTGTTTCGCTAGCTATCGTTTAGCATTTGTGAATGTTGCTGATGATTCCAAAACCGTTCATCGTGATTCTTGGCACAGGTTTACTGCTAAGAAGAAATCACACGGTTGGTGTGATTTTACGCCTGCTTCCACTATTTTTGATCCGAAATTGGGTTATATGTTTAGTAATGATTCTGTATTGATAACTGCTGATATTCTTATTCTTAATGAGTCTGTTAATTTTACACGCGATAACAATGAGGCGCAGTCTTCGGCTATGTCTTCGTCGTCTTCGTCGATGACTTCGTCAGTTGTTGCAAGTCCTGTTTCTGATGTTTTGAGTGGGAAGTTCACGTGGAAAGTTCATAATTTCAGTTTGTTTAAGGATATGATTAAGACGCAGAAGATAATGAGTCCGGTTTTCCCTGCTGGGGAGTGTAATTTAAGGATTAGTGTGTATCAGAGTTCGGTTAATGGTGTTGATTATCTTTCGATGTGTTTGGAAAGTAAGGATACAGATAAGAATGTTGTGTTGTCTGATAGGAGTTGCTGGTGTTTGTTTAGAATGTCTGTTTTGAATCAGAAGCCTGCTACGAATCACATGCACAGGGATTCTTATGGTCGCTTTGCAGCTGATAACAAGAGTGGTGACAATACTAGCTTGGGTTGGAATGATTATATGAAGATGTCTGATTTCGTTGGGACGGATTCAGGGTTTCTGCTGGATGATACAGCGGTTTTTAGTACCTCGTTTCATGTGATCAAGGAGTTTAGCAGCTTCTCCAAGAATGGGGCTGTCATTGGTGGGAGAAGTGGAGGTGGTGCGAGGAAGTCAGATGGTCACATTGGAAAGTTCACTTGGAGGATTGAGAATTTCACAAGGTTGAAGGATTTACTGAAGAAGAGGAAAATTACGGGTCTTTGCATTAAGAGTAGGAGGTTTCAGATTGGTAATAGGGACTGTCGTCTTATTGTTTATCCCCGAGGTATGTTCCTTTTCTTTTTGTATATACAGTATACTGTCTTGTTAGTAAATTATAACTCCATTAGTAGATATGATACTGTCTTTTTTGTGTGCTTTTTTGGCACAATTCTTGTTTACTCCGACGGATGTTTAGGAGAGCATACTTGTTTACTACCGATATTAAATACAACTTCCATTGCAAGTAGGGACTATAATCTAGATATTTTTTTCTTAGTGCATGAGTCCTGTCCTTGCATTCAGATTATTCCAATGCATTGTGATTATGTTTAGGTTGTGATGAATTTTTTATATGGTTTTGATGCTATCAGGGCAGTCTCAGCCACCATGCCACCTTTCAGTGTTTCTTGAAGTTACGGATTCAAGAAATTCTTCAAGTGATTGGAGTTGTTTTGTTAATCATCGGTTGTCAGTTGTAAACCAGAGAATGGAGGAGAAATCTGTCACCAAGGAATCTCAGAACCGCTACTCTAAAGCTGCAAAGGACTGGGGTTGGCGGGAATTTGTGACGCTTACTAGTCTATTTGATCAAGATTCAGGTTTTCTTGTCCAAGACACTGTCATTTTCTCAGCTGAAGTTCTTATATTGAAAGAGACATCAATAATGCAGGATTTTACCGAGCATGATTCTGAGTTAAACAGCAGCAGTTCCCTTCTTGATAGTTCTGGGAAAAGAAGTTCATTTTCATGGAAAGTGGAGAATTTCCTTTCTTTTAAGGAAATAATGGAGACTCGAAAAATCTACAGTAAATTCTTTCAGGCTGGTGGATGTGAACTTCGAATTGGTATGTTTTTTATTGCACATAAATTATCTCCTGCATTGTATGCACTGGCAGCAGTGATTGCAAACTTTTGAATTGTTGTTCTTTCAATAAAAGCTTATGTTTCAATGCTCTCCAGGTGTGTATGAGTCATTTGATACCATATGTATTTATTTGGAGAGTGACCAGGCTGTTGGTAGTGATCCTGATAAAAACTTCTGGGTCAGATACAGAATGGCTGTTGTGAATCAAAAAAATCCAGCCAAGACTGTATGGAAAGAATCTTCGATCTGCACAAAAACTTGGAATAATTCTGTATTGCAATTCATGAAGGTGTCTGATATGTTAGAAGCAGATGCAGGATTTCTTGTCCGTGACACTGTTGTTTTTGTGTGTGAAATATTGGATTGCTGCCCTTGGTTTGACTTTTCAGACTTAGAGGTGAGTCCTTGTACTTGTAAATGCTATTATTAATTGATATACTCATACAGACACGCCCACACACCAAATGTTCTCTGTCTTGCCCTAGGTAACTACTTGTCGACCCAGGCTCTTCTGCTTCTGACATATAACAAATTTAACATATACTATCTGGTTTTGCATCTGACTTATATTCTGTCTGGTAAGATTGTCACAAGCAAGTTAGAAACTATGGCCCCTTCCTTGGAATTGCTTGTTATTGCTGATAAAATGCACGGGACAAGCTGATAAATGACTCACGAGTTACAGAAGTTGATTAAAATTTTGCATCTCTTAAACTTCTTGATGTACAATAAAACTTGTAAGCATGTTTCTATCCCATAACCAAGGCAAAAGATATATAATTGTATACCTTTTATTAAAAGAAAAAACAACTATATGTTTACCTCTTATCTTCTTACGTGTTGTGAAGTTAGAGGTTTTTGTTATGAACTTCATTACAACTGTTTGTCGTGTTCAATGCTTATCACTCTTATTGTTAGGTTGCATGCACCTTTAATAATTTAATCTTTAATGTACAGGTTTTTGCTTCGGAGGATGATCAGGATGCATTGACAACTGATCCCGATGAACTGATAGACTCTGAAGACAGTGAAGGGATAAGTGGAGATGAGGAAGATATTTTTAGAAATCTTCTTTCCAGAGCTGGATTTCATTTAACTTATGGAGATAATCCTTCACAGCCACAGGTTACATTAAGAGAGAAACTTTTAATGGATGCTGGTGCAATTGCTGGGTTTCTGACTGGACTTCGGGTGTATCTTGATGATCCTGCAAAAGTAAAGCGTTTGCTTCTGCCTACGAAGCTCGCTGGAAGTTATGATGGGAAGAAGGCCACAAAGGCTGATGAGTCTTCCCCAAGTTTGATGAATTTGCTGATGGGAGTTAAAGTCTTACAGCAAGCAATCATTGATTTACTATTGGATATAATGGTCGAGTGCTGCCAGCCTTCTGAAGTGGGCCCTGTTGCTGATTCTGTCGATGAATGCTCAAAGCCTTCTCCAGACAGCAGTGGAACTGCTAGTCCTCTTGAACGTGATAATGAAGATAGAGTAGTGGAGTCTCCACAAGTTCTTGTTAATGAGAGGTTGAATTCTGCTGTCGAAGAAAGCAGTACCACGTCTTCTGTACATAGCTTTGATTTAAATGGGAATGGTATTCAGGAAAAAACTCTTCCTGGACAGCCTACTTGTCCACCAGAAACATGTGCCACTGTTTCAGAAAATGCGTCATTTCGGTCAAAGGTACTATTTTGCATTCATGAGATTAAACTTTTGTTAAATATACCCATGGTTTTGATTGTGTGAATTTGGAACTTCAGACCAAGTGGCCAGAGCAGTCTGAGGAGCTCTTAGGTTTGATTGTAAACTCACTAAGAGCTTTGGATGGGGCCGTTCCACAAGGTTGTCCAGAGCCAAGACGGCGACCTCAATCTGCGCAGAAAATTGCTCTTGTATTGGACAAGGCTCCTAAGCATTTGCAAGCAGATCTTGTTGCTTTGGTACCCAAATTGGTTGAGCAGTCAGAACACCCATTGGCTGCACATGCACTTCTCGAGCGTCTGCAACAGCCAGATGCCGAACCTTCTTTGCGAATGCCTGTGAGATAAACTATTATTCTTTACCCCAATGTCTTATTCGAATTGTTATATTGTTTGCATTTTATGTTAGGATAACAGTCTTCAATTTTAGATTTACTTTGGCTGCACTTCCACTTCTACCAACTTGGTTATGGTTGCATTGTTTTTCTACTATTGATGGATATTTTATTTCTTAGGTTTTTGGGGCTCTTAGTCAATTGGAATGTGGCAGTGAAGTGTGGGAACGCATTCTATTTCAGTCATTTGAGCTTTTGACGGATACAAATGACGAACCCCTGGTTGCAACAATAGATTTTGTATTTAAAGCAGCATCTCAATGTCAGCACCTCCCCGAAGCAGTAAGCTCGAAGATAATTGGAAATTGCTCCATGCCTCTTTAATCATTTAGAACTTAATTTAGTCACATTGTCAATGCAATAGAGTTTTATACTATTTTCTGATAATGTTTTGTCATGTCATTTAATGAGTTTGTCAATTGGCATCTCATGTTAGTAATATTCAAACATGCTCATTGAATGCGATGTCCGCACAAGATTGCATGATAGTTTTAAAAAGTTTACATCCACAGTGCATCAAAAACAAATTATTATACTTATGTACTGTTTCCAATTCCAAGATGATTTATAAAGTATTTGTAATTGTAACATTATTTTTTTCCCATGTATATGCAGGTTAGGTCTGTTCGTGTCAGGCTGAAGAGTTTAGGTCTTCATGTGTCACCTTGTGTCCTTGATTTTTTGAGTAAGACTATAAATAGTTGGGGTGATGTTGCTGAAACCATATTGAGGGATATTGATTGCGATGAGGATTATGGTGAAAGTTGCACTGCTCTACCGTGTGGGATTTTCTTATTTGGTGAGCCTAGCACTGCTGCTACTGGACTGCACATGATTGATGAGCAGGCTTTTCGTGCTAGTCGTCATTTTTCTGATATTTATATACTATTAGAAATGTTATCTATACCTTGTCTTGCTGTTGAAGCTTCTCAAACATTTGAGAGAGCTGTAGCACGAGGTGCAATAGGTGCTCAGTCTGTAGCCCTGGTATTAGAAAGTCTTCTTTCCCAAAGATTGAACAGTAATGCCAGAACCGAAAATTTTCAACATTCAGATGGTGCAACAGAGGAGGATGCCTGTGAGCAATTGGGAGTTCAAAGGGATGATATTACATTAGTTCTTGGTCTCGCTGAAACTTTGGCCCTCTCCAGGGATCTCTGTGTCCAAGAATTTGTGAAACTACTCTACGTGATAATCTTTAAATGGTATGCTAATGAATCTTACCGGGGGAGGATGCTGAAGACGCTTGTTGACCGTGTCACCAGCACTACTGATAATGGTCGCGAAGTAGATTTTGATTTGGATATCTTAGTTACTTTGGTCTGTGAGGAACAGGAGTATATTAGGCCTGTTTTGAGTATGATGCGTGGAGTTGTCGAACTTTCAAATATTGATCGAGCTGCTCTGTGGCACCAGTTATGTGCTAGTGAAGATGAAATTATCCGCGTTCGTGAAGAAAGCAAAACGGAGATTTCTAATATGGCTAAGGAAAATGCTATTCTATCACAAAAGCTGAGTGAATCCGAGGCCACAAACAGTCGTCTCAAGGTATTTCGTATGTCTTGGTTGATAATTTATTGTGGGTTAATGGAGAATTTATTTCTGATACATTTTACGATTCAACAGTCTGAAATGAAGGCTGAGGTAGATCGATTTTCTCGGGAAAAGAAGGAACTAGGAGAACAAATTCACGAAGTTGAGAGTCAGCTTGAATGGCATCGCTCAGAGCGGGATGATGAAATATTAAAGCTCTCTGCAGAGAAGAAAGTTCTTCATGATCGTTTGCATGATGCAGAGACACAACTTTCTCAATTGAAGTCTCGGAAACGTGATGAAGTAAAGGTATTGAGTTTTTAAACAAAATAAGCATTTGTTCCTTAACAATTGAAAAGTAAGCATTCATTATGCTGATCTTAAACACTGCACCCTATGCGACTGTGCCGCCTACAATGTTTATGTTTGCAGATTATCAAAAGTGTGGCAAAAAGTGTTCTTTATTCTTCAATATGATTTCCGTTTTAGTTCCTTCATTTTGTCCTCATCGTGCAGATTATAATTAAATCTTTGATGAGCTTGCATCTCAAATAAGGAACAGTCTACCTGCAGTTAATTCTTACTGTCGCAGGGGTTTATGCATGTAGGCTAAGGTTTAAAAACCAAACCATCTTTATACTCTGTAATGGAGGAACCACAGCTTTTATAGCGGTGCTTCAGCATCCAATTACTCTATTTCTGCCATTCCCTTATCTGACCGCACAATTTCCGTCTTTTCCACTTCATTTCAGCCTTCACTTAAACTCTGATATTGGGCAACATAATATTCATGCATTGATTTTCCCAATTCAGAAAGATATTTGGCAGCCATTTATTTCTACTTAGTTTATTAGCTGATGGGTTACTCTTCTGTTAGGAAGGAGTTTGATCTTTCTTTTCTTAGTTCTTACTAAAAATTAATTTCAGCACAAAGGAGTGTGTGCTTTTATGCCTTGTCCACTCTTCAAGGCCAAAATGCTTGTGCGTGACGGCATGTTAGGGCTGCCACACTCCACTTAAGTGTATAAGATTTTTAGATTTGGTCCTTGACTTAAATATTTTTGCAAATATGCTATACAATTTTCTGAGCCATCCTTTAAATTGTTTAATTAAATTATCAAAATGATGATTGGACAAAGTTGTATTCCGGTTGTTGTCTACTGCAACTCTTTTTTTCTTCTACTGGCTCTGGACCGGCCATATATTAATCAGAGTTTTTTTATTAACAAATTACGTTGAGGGTCTGTTTGGATCAAATAAGGGGAGAAATTTTAATGAGATATCATACTTGGTCAAAGAGGAGGGAAGTGGAGACACTAATGAAGAGAAAGTTTTAACTTACATTTTAAACCCTTATACATTATAATGTTTCATCTGACATTTAATGCAATAATCTTTTAGTTTTTAATAAGTACCTGTTAAGATTTTACTAGCATCTCGTCTTTCCTTCAAATCCCTCAATTTTCTGACAGAAGCTAAAATTTTCTTGTGAGGGATTTTGTTACCATCCTCTCCTTTCCTCTCCAAACAATTGAACCGACACATTAAATTTAAATAATTCTTCCCCTCCATTTCCCCCCAACCAAACAAACCCAGAACAAAATAATGTGAATGATTATGTTATCTTTTTTAGTTGCCTGTCAACTGTCAATTTTCCTTCAATCTTTACCAGCTCTGAAGATATAGTGAGGACTTGATAAATATGAATAGAGAAAATATGTTAATCTATTTTCCGTCACACGAAAATCTTGAAAAATGGTGTACCTGTGGAAGTGGAAGTGGAAGTGGAAGTGGAAGTGGAAGAAGGCCTTTCATTTTCGCTTCTGAATTAATTAGTCTTCCGTTATGTCTTGAATGGGGAAAGTTCCATATTGATGTAATCTTTATTTTTTACAGAAAATAGTAAAGGAGAAAAACACACTTGCTGAAAGATTGAAGAATGCTGAAGCTGCACGCAAGCGTTTTGATGAAGAAATGAAAAGATTTGCAACAGAAAACGTGACTCGGGAAGAAATCCGCCAATCGCTGGAGGATGAAGTTCGTAGATTGACTCAAACAGTTGGACAAACCGAGGGAGAAAAACGGGAAAAGGAAGAGCAGGTTGCAAGGTGCGAAGCATATATTGATGACATGCAATCAAAGTTGCAGGCCTACCAGGTTAGCCTTGACATATAGATTGTAATTTTTGTGTTTATTGCTATTTATATATACTTTTCGGTTCTGTCTGCAATTTCAATGCTGTCTGCTATTCTCAAATGCTTAGTTGGATGATGAATGAGTTTTGACTGGGTGACCTTGAAATCATTGTAAGATATGTCTGTAGAGGCATCTTCAATATTAGGCAGGTTTTCACTATCGGGGCTGGACTGTTTCATTCTTTTGCCTAAAGTTCTCTAGCTCAAAAATCGTGTTGGAAATTTTCTTTATAGTATTGTTGGATGTGCTAGAATGAGATAGAATGCATTTGTATCTTTGAACTGATGCCATTATATGTTCTTTCTTGCACGTGCAAAATGTTGGTGTTTATGATCATACTCCGGGGATTAATTTGGTAGGTTAATTCCTTGTTTCTCTTCTGCAGCAACACATCCTCTCCGTTGAGACCTCACTCCAGGAGGAAATGTCACGACATGCCCCATTATACGGTGCTGGTCTGGAGGCTTTATCAATGAAAGAGTTGGAAACAATATCACGTATTCATGAAGAGGGTCTGAGGCAGATCCACGCCCTTCAACAGCGTAAAGGGAGTCTGGCTGGGAGTCCAATTTTGAGTCCCCATGCTCTCCCTCACAGCCATGGATTATATCCTTCTGCAACCATAGGCCTTCCTCCCTCGATCATCCCAAATGGAGTAGGGATCCATAGCAACGGGCATGTGAATGGTGCGGTAGGACCTTGGTTTAACCACCCTTGAATTATTAGGTCATAGGATGTTATTATTTTTGAGTTATTTCTTTGGCATTTTGGCTGGTAAAACTGTTGGAGCAAGCAAGAATGTTGGGTAAAAAAGAATGCTGAAGGTTAGAAGGGTTGGGTGAAATTTTTCCTTGAAAATGTGAAGGGAATCCAATGTAACTTTCATTTGCAAATGCCATACTCATTTGCTCCTACTTTTTGAGGGAAAAAAAGAGAAGAGAAAAAAAATAGTTATAGGCATTTTTTAGTTTCCACAGTTATATCTTATTTTATCCTGGGCCAGATGTGAAGCAGTGTAAGAAATCTCTATTGATAGCTTCTTTTAATACGTAATCAACAAAGAAAATCCTTACCCCCTTGATTACACTAATGTCTCAGTCTCAGATCATGTGCATTTCATGCAAGGGGGTTAATGTGTAAATGGTGGCTGCACGGGTTTTCATCACTGAATTTACCTGTTACTAAAAGTTTTAAAGGTTGTTATTTTCATTTTCCAAACGTGTATTTTTTTCTTGTATAGTTATTTTCTTTACCTCTATCCCTAATTGAGGTCCTTTTAGAATTTTTTTAAACCCGTAAATGTTTTTGTAAAAACTATTAGATGTATTTATAATTTATTATTATTTTAAGTATATTTAATTAATATTACTAGATGAAAGAATCTTGACCTTTAAAAAATGAAAATTTGGCCACTAGACTGCTTAATAAAAAAAAATTGTTAATTTTGGTTTAATTATAGTTTTGGTATTTTATGAGTTAATTTATTTTTCAGATTCTTATAAGAAATTATTGATATATAATCATTTTAATATGTTAATAGTTTTATAAGCTATTGACTAAATTATGAAAATAAATAAATTTTAACAGTTGAAATTAATGTTTTAAAAATCGGGTCAGAGATCAAATCAGTGAAATTTACAGGTTTAGATTTAATTGGTTAAATAGGTTAAATCTGCGGTTAAATCATTTATTAAATAAATTAATAATATAAAATTAAATTTTATAGATTTGTCACTTAGACACCTAATTATATGTTTACAACCTAATAAAATAAATATTTTAAAAATCTATTACAAATTTAATAAAACAATATTGATAATACATAATAGTTTTACACATCATTTTAAATATTATTTAAAAATATTAAATAAGATATAATACCAAAATACAAATAATACAATATAATTTATCAAACAACAAACAATTGAATTTGGGTTGAACAACGACAAAAAAGTCTTAATTGACAACTTTCAAATAATATTGACTTAAACGATAATTAATATTGAGTTGAACATCGTGACTATGTTTGAAAGAGCTGACATGATGATGAAGTGCGGTTGAAAAGAAAAATTATAATAGAATGACAAAAATTATAAGTTTGTATGGTTGTAAAAAATATATGATTTTTTTTTTGTGATTGGAGAATATATGTTAAGTTTTGATATTAACATATTGAAATTTAAAAAAAAATTAAAAAAATTGACAATTTAATATTTTTTTTTTGAACCAGGACACCGTCAATTCAATCCAATTTTTAAAATAACGGTTAAAACTAGAGGTTTTAAGTTTTTTAAAATAATTTTATAAGTGTTGATTATTCCATGTCATGAGATTGAATGTCATGTTATTTAAAATATGTCACTTTTTTCTTTTATTTTTGAGTCTTAAAATTAAAAAAATGGTAAATTCCAAAACGAGGAAATCAATTCAAATTCAATGAATAAATTAAAGGAGAAGACTTAAATATAATTTTTTAGGCGCGATTTTTATTATTTTTAGTGGATAATTTCTTCCTATACACATGCGTTTTTCTTCTATACATACAATTTTCAATAAAAATATACACTTATCATATTTTCATTCAAAAATAATAAAAATCACATTAAGAAATTGTATCTAAGTTTTCTCTTAAATTAAGATACAACTTTAAAATTATTAAGTGAATATTTATTTTAATCGTCAATTAAAATTGTGAGATTTAATTTAATATATAATATAAATAAAATTTTAATTTAAAAGAAAACCAGAATAATTTAATTCTCTTTTATTTACACTTTATTTGATTCACAAAGAAACATGAAAAAAATTGAAAAGAAGAAAAAAGGGCTTATGAAAGCAATTATTTAAAAATTTGTACATTAAAAGTGATGTAAAAAGAAATAGGATTATTCATAAAAAAATACACAATGTATCTGATTAATAATTAAGTGTAATAAAAAGAATAAAAATAAAATAATTTTTTTAGAGTTTTGGTATAAATGAAAATAAACAATGATGTAAAAATAATTATGTTTATTTATAAAATAATAGAAATACCTTTAAACAACAATGTAATAAAAAGTTAAAATAAAAAAATTACTAAAAAATTTGGTATAAGAGAGAATTTTAAAAAATGATATAAAAATAAATATGTAATATCTTTAAAAACAATTTAAAATAAACTTGTTTTCATTACAATAAATGAAAAATAAAACAAATATACTTAGATATGTTGGGATGACTTGGATATAAACATGTTTAGACATTCCATTTAGTTTCATTACTTCTTTCTATATTTTTGGTGCTTTTATTTTGATGACTGCCTCACATTTATTCGGTTTTGCCTCTATGCCTCTCTCTATTAGATAGAAGTTTATGAATTTGCTGACTCTGACCCCAAAGGTATATTTCTTCAAATTGAACCTCATATCGTATTGTCGGAACATCCAAAACACACTTGCTAGGTGTTCGATGTGCATCTTCTCATTGTCGGACTTAACCCCAAAGGTACATTTCAGGATGATGAACATTCTATTTAGTTTCATTACTTCTTTCTTTTTCTTTATTGTTAGTGCTTCCATCTTGATCACCGTCTTACACTTATTCGGGTTTGCCTCTATGCCTCTCTCTATTGGATAGAAGCATGTGAATTTACCGACTCTGACCCCAAAGATACATTTCTTTGGATTGAACCTCATATTGTATTACCGGAACATCCAAAACACACTTTCTAGGTGTTCGTCGTGCATCTTCTCATTGTCAGACTTAACGATCATGTCTTCCATGTAGACTTCCAACCTTTCGCCTATCCATTCCATGAAGATTTAATTCATCATTCTTTGGTACGTTTCCCCCACATTTTTAGGCCAAAAGGCATGACGTTGTATCGATAGTTGGCTCCCTCAGCCACAAAGGTTGTCTTGTCTCTGTCCGCCTCTTACATAGGTATCTAGTTGTAGCCATAGTACACATCCATAAATGACAATAATGTGTAACAAACCTAATTTCTACTTGCTTATCTATGTTCGGGAGTGGGTAGGAATCTACAGGGCATGCTTGGTTGAGATCAGTGTAATCGACACACATTCTCTACTTTTCTGAGGCTTTCTTGACCAACACAACTTTGGATATCCATTAAGTATACCTTATTTTGGAGATAAAGTTTGCATCTAATACACCTTGGGATGTATTCTTGGTTGCTTCGACCTTCTCAAGAGATTAACGAATCCTTCGTTAAGCGACATAACGAATAGAGGGGTTAATATCCAATCGATGGCAAGCCACACTAAAGTGTTGTCGCTACTGCGAAAAAGGGCCGACAAAGACAGAAGAGTCGCCACCGTTCGTTATTTGTACCAAAGAGACGGAAAGGAAACAATAAGAGAAAACCTACAAAAAAGGTAAAAGACAGGTCATCGCAACCAAATCTTGGGTTCGGGAGTCGGTTACGCAAGGGGAAGGTATGAGCACCCCTCACGTTCGTTATACTCAATGGGATCCACGCTTGTTGTCTATCTAAAAGGGTGTTAATCTATCAAAAGGCAGACTCACAAGGACAAAAGAAAAGAAAAGAGACTCGATAGAGCATCACCGCTCTATGCCTACGTATTCCCTCGTGCAATGGGAAAGTCAGAGTCAACATAGTTCGGAAAACTACGGGTGAAGGTGGGGAATGTTGCTCGCCAAGACATCGTCGTCTTGTGCCTACGTATCCTCATCTGGTATGAGAAATCAGAGCAAACGTAGTTCGGGCTGACACGACCACAAATTGGTTAAGTGTTTTAACTGAGTAGGGTTAAACCTTCGTTCTAGCAGTTAGGGACGACACCTGTTTGCGGTAGAACCAAGACTTAACACACTCTTTCTGAAAATGATTTTCAAACAATCCCGAAGGATAAAAATGTTTGATGTTTTGTTTTTGTTTTTTATGAGAAGAAGTGAATTGAGTTAAGTTTGTAACTCATGTTGCACTAAAGACTATGACTTGAGAGCGAATGTGTCGCATATCGCCCAAAAGGCATACTCTAAACACTCTAGTCAGTGTGAGAGGAGGCCCCCAGCTATCATTCCTCAAGTACTTAAGGCTCGTAGCGTACAACATTTATTATCCTTTATTAAGTGTCTTAAGGGATTATGAGATGAGAAGAGAAGACACGAACTCTAAGGGGAAACTAATCAACCTAATGTTATCATGCAAAGTGTTCCTAAAGTTGGGATTGAGAGGGGAAAAAATCTATTCTAATGTTATCATACAAAGGATTGAACACCTAATGTCTCTCCTACTCCCATCTTAAACAGAGTGACTAGGAATCCTAAGGGATCATGGCAAAAGACCAAGTAAACACATAGAAAATCAATCACAAGATGAAGATGAAATGAGATATGAAATGCAAACACCAATGCAAAAATGCAACAAGACTCAAAAGCAAGAGACTCAAACACAAAGAAATGACTTAAACAAGTCAAGAAGAGAAGAGATGAAATGGAAGAAGTAAACTCCTACAACCATGTACCATCAATCATCAAAGAAGAATGGTGCTATCCTAAGATGCACACACAAAGAAAAGAGGGAGGAAAAAAAGTGTGGGGCAGCAACCACCACAAGCACATCTCAACCATACAATTCTTTAAGATTAAGCAAAGAAATGCAACAAAACAATGTAAAACAATCACCAATGTTCATGACAAACTCAAAGTGCAAACACAAGCACCAAATCATCATGAACAAGCACTTATCCA